TTTCAAAAACCTTGTACATAGCAACATTTCTGCAGTCGGTTAAAAACACTTTCGCCAAACAATTCAGTACTCACCGTTTACAACTTGTATTAGTATCGCGAACAGGACCGCGCTGAGCCGGCAGCCGCGCGTCCGCCATTTCCCCCTAGCGGCCATATTGTTTTGGCGGGAAACTTGACAGTTCACTGTGGTCCATCCGTGCGTTCACTTCACATAACTCGTTCACAACACTTATTACTTTTTAAGTTTTGTTTTGTCTTTGATTAATTGGGCACTGAGTTTGAAGATCACATTTGATGTCGGTTGCGACCTAAAACAAGAGAAACATGGCGATTATGATAGGCTCATAAACGAATTAATATTTAATTTACACTATTCGTCGAAAAAAAAACCACATTCGTAACTAAATTAATCTGTTCAGCTGGAATAAAACAATAGAAAATAACTAACTATAAGGATTCTACAATGCTCCATAGAAAAGACTTAAACGAGTTCTTTGATTATTATCAATGTGTAGAGATTTTTTTAAGATCTAAGTTCTAAACTTAGTGATTTTTTTTACTAATATAGTAATTTCTTTATCATTTATATGATAAACAAATTACATAAGAATAAAAGATCATAGTAAAGTTGACCTTAACTCCAAAAGTGTATACTTAATAATGGAATAGTTATATTTTATGTACGCACAGAAATAGTATGGAATTATTTCTACTTTTTACGTTTCTTCAAATCAATAAGGGCCGGATTTAGAGGTCTGGAAGCCTCGGGGCAACAAAGGAGTGGAGGCCCCTTGGCCCCACATTATTTTCCATTGATTTCTGTTAATGTAAAAATGTTTGTACAGAGTACTGTGAGTAAGTAATATAGGTAAAACACGATAAAAATATGAAAGGTAAAGTCGATTACTAGTGTTTACTAGTCTGAATTAGAATTTTTTTTTCCAAAGTCTATTATTATCCCTCTTTTGTGGAGGCCCCGGCGCAGTAGCCCCGGTTGCCCTCCCCTAAATCCGGCCCTGAAATCAATTATATTTACGAGTGAAGGCTAGATAGACATTTTTTATCACCGGTTTGTATATGATGGTAGGTGTAATTATTTATTTTTATAAAAACTAGTCTTTGCTCGGTTCTTATTATACTTGATGGTATGTGGTGACATAAGCGTACGAGATACGAGACAAAATACCAATATATTTAATATAAAATACCACGGCCTCAGAAGACCCGCGTTAAGTGGAAGTATTGTACTTCTGCGTTTCGTCTGGTCAGTGAGGTAACCGGGTCTCACTTTTTCATGGTAGCCAACGCATTTTCAACCCCACGGGCGTTGCAACTCCATGGATGGCGGTTATCACTTAATATTAGGCGAACCGTTTGTTCCCTTGCCACCTCCCCGCATAAAACGAATCCAAAATTTTCGCTTCATGATTGATATATACCTAGATAAGTAATTATATTTTACTCCAGCCTTATGTGAGGACTAATGCGTGCTAAGTGGCTAGTACCAGAGGGTTTATGATGTAACACCCGTAAAACATTAATAATAACTAGCGAACCGCCCCGGCTTCGCACGGGTTTAATGTATTACACATATAAACCTTACTCTTGAACCACTCTATCTAGTAAAAGAACCACATGAAGATCCGTTGTGTAGTTTTAAAGGTCTAAGCATACATAGGGACAGACAGACAGCGTGACGACTTTGTTTTATACTATGTAGTGATAGTTATAATGCATAAATAAACTAAAGTATGTATCTACATGAAAGAAAGAAACGCTATCGTAACTTATAGACAGCGTCGCCACATATGAGAGTCGCATTGAATAATAAAAACATAACAGTGCCTCCGTATTGGGACGCGTTCGCCCTGCCTGTAAATGGCGACCGACACAGTTGGTGTACAAAGCGAGTTGGAGCGTCGAGTTTGTCACGACGTCCTGATTATTTTGCGGTCAATTATGACGTAAGCTGATGATGCATCGAAACAAGACCACCTAAGGAAATGCCCGATTTTAAGGCAGTTAAAACCCATATTAATTGTCAAGCTATTTTACGAGGTTTTATAACCGCACAGCGCCAAATGCTGCATGGTAAAAACTACCGAACTCAGAATCCTACAATTTAATTTAACTTTCCGAGTTCCTGTGTACACCTAATTTAAACGATTAAACGCTAATTCCTTAATAACAAAGAAATAGGTAATTAAAGACGCTGGGAGTAAACAAAATTAGTGTGAAAAGTAATATAAAGGGAAAATCAGTAATTAAATCATTCCGGAATGTTAATGTTATGTTGACCAACGTAGACGAGCGCAAAGGGGAACTATTACACTATTGCGTTTCGTCTGGGTGGATCCCCGGCCCAGTTTTTGGGATAGGGGTCAACGTCAGGTTAATCTAGTCACTTTCAAACATCTCATAAAAGATTTCTTTATTTATTCGACGCTAAGAGCAAGCAGCAAGCAAGTGCTCGGGTTAAGTTCGACATCAAGACGTGAAACAACTCAGTATGTCCCGTGACCAACAACGTTGGAAAGGCTTCGAAAGTTTGGTAATTAAAAATCTGAGAAAAGTTCTGCTTACATACAACGACAGACTTGAAAGGTTTAAGGCTGGATTCTCTTCTAAAGCGACGACAACTTAGTGACCCCTTAACATTGCATAAAATAGTTAATAATACCCTTGATTTTGACGTCTTGTGCCATTTTTCAGCGAGATGTTCATCTAAATCTAATCGTAGCATCTTTTCCATATAGATAATCCGGAATAATGTATTTCACAATAGTCCCTTAATTCGAATGTTTAAACAGTAAAATATTTTTTATAGAGACAGACATATTTCATCAAAAATAATGCCAAATATTTTTAAAAACTATTAAGTCCTCTGATAATATTGGTCTGCTTCTTTCTGATAAGTAAACTAGCAAGTATTATTTATTACATACGTTATTAAAATAACATATTCAAAGTGAATGTTGTGCTCGGTTGTTATTGAAATGCATGTTTAGTAATATGTATTGGTCCGTAATAATTATTATTTAGTAACCGCGCCAAATGAACAAATAAAAAAATAATAAAAATTAAAACGCGATAATATTGTAAAATAATTCCATTTAATAATGTATAATATTCGCGTAAAAACATGAAATCAATATAAGCACCATGTTATAAGCACCATCAATATAAGCGAATTGTTTACTTGCGTCTGCGACGACCGCAAGTCGACAATGCACTTCACGGAAGCCACGATTTGAATGCAGAGCGGATAATTTGCGTTTCATACTTTCATAGCCAATAGAAAGCTTGTTTGCAACGTGTTTGTTGCATTTCAAGCGCCATCGCGGTCGAACGCTGTTTTCGAGTCCCCGACACAGAGATACGACATTTCATTTTCGAAATTTAATAATTACATGTTCATGTTACCTCGAAAGCAGTTGATTGTGACAGCGGCGATGTTAAATAAACTTGACGTACAAGATTTGACATCAATATTAAGTAACATGTAAGCAAAGGTTTCAAAGCTGGAAGCCCTTTAACAGTGGTAGGGCCTCGCAAACGTGTTCACTGATTCACAAATGGGCAGATCCGTCTGAGAAAGTTCAACGGACTCACAGGAAACCGGCGTGAATAGGAAGTTAATAGGTAACTTATTAATGGCACTTTATTAATAGGTGGCAATACAACCCTACGGATGTTGCAAATGTCGATGGGCGGTTATCACTTAACATCAGGAGAACCGCCGTCTTGCTTGACGCCTCACATAAAAAAGCCTCGTCTGGTGTCCGCCACGCGACCTAACGTGAACCAGTCCTATGTATTCGAAATGCATTACGACGTTAACTCTGAAGTCGAGAATTTAGATGATTATGAACTTAGATGATCGGGGTACAATGTAATAGAGCCTCGAACAACTGAGTTATCACGGCACACCGAACCGAATGAGTTATAGTTAACTGTTACACAATTTACGGCTGACTAACTAGCAACCCGGCCTTATGACTGGCGAGACTAATTTCTTATCTTCCCTTTGTTTTACTTCTGAACGTTTTAGAAAATATTGCTGTAGAGATACGTATACCTGCAATTAAATTTCATGCAAAAAATTTAATTTGCCTTTAGCCCCATTAAAATTTTCTACTGGAATTATTCAAATTAAATTGAAAAATGCATTCAACACTTTAACTATTTATTTTATTCAATCAAGATCTGACCGGTGCTGCTATTCGACTTAAATGAATGTAAATTGATGTACACTTTACCAAGGGAGTGGAGCAATTTGTCAATGTCAGTGTGTACGTACGAATATACACTTCACCGTAGTAAATGTGAATGGGCTTTTAACATGCTATCAGTAAGTTAACTCCACCTTAGGCCACACGACTGCTGAGCTGTGTCCAAGTGCAATAGTAGACGAGTCTGAAATCATCTAGTATTTTAAAGATATACAATTCATTTATCCAGCATTTACAACATTAACGCCCGGTTTCTGAAACATTGATGATCGTAGGAATTAACTAATCAGCTGTCAAATGACTTCTCTTGATGGTTAAACTCTATGAATTGATCATTCTGATCATTCTGAACCGGACGTAAATCTATTTAATTACATATTATCTAATAAATTTACCTTTATATTTTTAAATATTTATGTTTAAGTGTGTTAAGAACCATGATAGCTCAGTGTCCGGGCGGTCGCCTTTAGTTCAATATACTCCAGCAACCTGAGTTCGATCCCCGGTGCCGGCACCAATGAAGTTTTTAACTTTAAGTGCTGACTTATCACGTGCTCCGCGGTGAAGGAAAACATCGTGAGGAAACCCGCATATTTTCGAAATAATAAAAAAAAATATATTTCGAAGATATGTGAAGTCCGCCAATACGCAGTGGGGCCGCGTGGTGGTGCATGGCCTGAAACCCTCTCTATAGAGGAGGCCTTTGCCAGTGGGACAGGCCCAGCAGTGGGACATGTATAGGCTGTTACTTTACTTTTTAAGTTTAACCTTTGAGCGAGAAAAGGACCGCCTCTCTTGTCAGCCGCGGCGTTACGCCTAGGACGACATTAACATTACACATTGCGAAGATAATTCTGTGTTGTACAGGAGACGCACCCAGATCCAGAATCATCTATAGGTCTTATAGATACTTTTCCCGGATGGGAATTGAACCATCATCTTTCAGGGTCGATGTCTTTCGATAAGCACATGCACTAATAAAGCCAGAACAAAATTTTAATAAATATCTGGTGACGTAAATATTATACATGGACAGCAATAAAAACAGTTTACTAGCTACATAAATGCTAATCCTAAAAGGGCCGGGATTGGTCCATTATAGGAAAACACCGTTCCGATAAGACATCTGAAAAATGGTCTATGAGCTATATGACATGACAAGATATACCTACTCCTCAAAAGTTTGTCTGGAAAAGTTCTAGCAATAACAGCACGCATCGGTATAACTGTATAATGGACGCAGAAACATAAATAGATATATAAATAAGCGGAAATGGAAACAGAAACGCATCATGCGGAAACGAAATTTTTAGTTATTTATGTATTACACACACACACACACACAAAAACCTTTACAGGCTAAATCAATACAATATTGTAGGCAAAAATTATATATTTATCTAAAGATTAAATAACATACTCTTTCTCATCAACTTATACATTACCATTGATAGTTAAGTAAAGTTATATTTTATGAAAGGTAATCCTGTCCCTTCTCTACCCAACAAGCTCCTAAGGTTGTTCTTCACAAATTAGACCCTAAACCACTTGCTTCGACCTGTCATATCATTCCTGTTTAAATATCTATATCTAATTATAAAAGTTGCGGAAACAGAAGCAGAAACAGAGGAAAAAATAGTGCAGACCTTACGACACTACTAACTTTATTTTCTTTTATGTGAAAAAGTAACAAACGAGCTGGCGGTTCACCTGATGTTAAGTAATATCCGCCGCCCATGGACATTTGTAACACCCGCAGGGTCGCAAATGCGTTGCCGCCTTTAGATAAAATGTGCCCCGGCTACCTCACTCACCAGACCAAACGCAGAAATGTAACACTTCTACTCTACGCCGGTCTTCTGTGAGGTCGTGGTAATTACCCGGACGGACCAGCCCATTCGTGAAACAGTGAAAACAGTTGCGCGGCCCTACCGCAGTCTGCTCCATTTAACAGCGACTCTGTGACAAGTAAATCGCTAATTGATAATTCGGGCGGCAAGCCGAGCCAGTCGCTTACGGTGGCTCGTTGGACGAGCAGCCGCGTGCCAAACGACCACTGGAATCCAATCGGCCTTATTTCTATGTTAATGCGATACAAAGACCTAGATTTCGTAGCGTCTAAGCCTAATGGTCTGTGAACGATAACGTCGCAAGTCCAAAGGAAGCTAAACGAAAGCTGTTTCGCGGCTCGCTTTAGTTAATGCTGTTCAGTTTGCTAAGGGGCCATAATAGGGTGGCAGAGTGGGCAAATATGCGGGGGGGAATCCCGGGGATAAGTTATTCTTTTGACCAATACAAAACAACGCGACTTTCGAACCTGCGTTTTTAGGGTTCTGTACTGAAAGGGTACAACGGGACCCTATTAATAAGACTCCGCTGTCTGTCTTTCCTGCCTGTCGCCACTGTATTTCATGGACCGTGATAGTTAGAAGGTTCAAATTTTCACATAATTATGATGTATTTCTGTTGCCGCTATAACAACAAATACTAAACAACAGAATAAGAAATATTTAAATGGGGTATATAACAGACTGATTTTTTTTGCCTTTTTTATAGATAATGGTACGAAACCCTTCGTGCGCGAATCCAACTCGCACTTGGCCGGTGTTTTCGCTATCAAACCGCAAAAAAAATCATAACTTAAATTTCATCTTGAGTGTAGAGACTAGCACTAATAATTAACAAATAATCCTACAATTATGTTATACAAATAGAGTCCGATTAACCACTCGTAATCTTAAAGGTATCGTAGATATTACTGGTATCTTCACGACGCTTCCGAAGAGCTTGCTCGAGCGCTTTACGGCGTAACGGTGCGACAGGTGGGGGACGACCCACATACCAACGTATACCGTACTCATCGACTCGGGTACGTCGATACGACCCATTTGCGGTAGTCGTCTCGTCTGCTCATTCAGTACGCGTGCAGATTATAAATGAGAATAAATATTAAATACCACTCTTTGGTGAACCGACTTCGAAAAGGGAGGTTCTCGGTTAGCTCGCATTTTTCTCCGTCGTTTGAAAAGCTTTTCAATTTTTTTGGTGAAGCCTCCCATAGCGATCCCATTTTATATCATTAGTATTAGACCTTGGACTCCTTAGAAACACCAGGGAACTCTTAAATATCATATAAACTTATATTATATTGTTGTTGTTTTATTTTCACGTACTCTCAATCGCTGATTATTTCATTGTGCCTATTATTCAATATATATTCAGCAAAAGTGTCTTCTTCCTTGTTACCTATTTTAATTCATTTTTAATTATGTATTTACTAAGTTTATTACTTTTCATTTTATTGTTTAACGCTTCTCTTCCGAACACATAATTCTATACCAAATTCTCTAATAGTGAAAACTTTTAATAGGCCTTTAATTTTGTTAAATTTTATCAAACAATGACTATTCTAGCTGTAAGTTTTCCAAAAATATCTAAAATAAAAATAAAAATAAAATAAATAAAAGGAACCTCGTTCCAACCGAATGTGTACCACCTCTAGTTTTTCATTTTTGGAGTTCCGTACCCAAAGAGTTATAGATAATGGTACGGAACCCATCGTGCGCGAGTCCGACTCGCACTTAGCCGATTTTTAAGCCAGCACGCGTTTACAACACGCAACGAATTTCCACACATCGGTGGCAACGTCCGCCGTCTGCAGCCCGCGTCATTGTCAAAGCGGATCTACGATGTGGCGCGGAGCCATTAGTGGTGATTCAGAGATCCGGGCTGCAGTTGCGACAGCGACGGTTGCGCAACTTGTGTCGCGACTAAGTTGCGGCGTCGCGACCGATTTAAGTTGTTAAGTTGCGGACGCCACTAAGTTGTCTTAATGGATTTGTCGCTGTTAGGGTTGCGGTGGCACCAAGTTATTATGCTTATTTTACTGATAGTGTTAGTCTGCGAGGAAATCGTATCTGAATATGTCATTACCGTCGTCATTACGAAAACATCTTCACACATGGAGATTGTTAAGAAAATATCGGAAATTTTGTTTTATTTTTTTGTTTTTTTCTCGTAACTGGTGGTTGACCTCATGTTAAATGAATACCGGCGTCTATGGCCATCTAGAATACCGAAAGGCTTGCAGATGAATTGACAACCCTTACAAAAGTGGGCCCCGGCTACTTCACTCGTCTGACGAAAGGCGAAAGTTTAATACTTCCACTTCACGCCCTCTGTGAGGTCGTGGTACTTTGCCGAACGGGACACCTCATTCGAGGAACAGCGAAAACTGTTGCGTAGCCCTACCACAGTAATCCATATTACTTTTCGAGATTAATAGCTCCGACATCGATACCATTAATATAAAAAAAATTGCGGTAACTGACACGTGTTAACTGCACTTTAATAAGGACATTGCTGAGGGGGCGTGTGCGTCGGCAGCTTAACTGGCGAGTTTAACGGACCGGACTCGTGCGAGCGAGCGATTCTGGTGGCAAAAACATCACCGTTAGTGTAAACAGGCCCCTACTATGCGGCGGAGCGATTACAACCTGCAATTGAATTACCACTTTATTGTAATATGTATTGATGACTCCGTGGCGCAGTTGCCAAGTTATTGATCTAGGCCCCAGGGGTAAGTCAGCACGTGATAAGTCAGTGCTTAAAGTTAAAAACTTCAATGGTGCCGGCACCGCGGATCGAACTCAGGTTGCTCGAGTATATTGAATTAAAGGCGAGCGCCCGGACACTGAGCTATCACGGCTTAACTAATAATGGGTACGGCAATTAATAATAACATTAACATTTGGATAAACTCCTTTCACTGATACTGAAGTGCAAATTGGTCTCACGTTTGATCGCTGTATACGCTTAAAATGTTTGAATCTCAAGAATTTTTACAAAATATGGATTGACAGCACTGGCTACCCGTCCATCTCGATGAAACTACCTGACTTCGAGAACGTAAAGACGGCAAAACCGCAATTGAATACGTCACAGCGTCGTGTGAAACTTTCTAATGTCCTTGTTACTAAAGTAGGACTCACTAACACATGGGCAAACAGTTCGAAAGAGGCGGTGGCCTCAGTTTACGTAAACGGACACTTACCGGATAAAGCATAAGATACAATTTCGTACAGAGAGCCATCTGAGCATTTAGCTGATTACAAAGCAAGAGTGATTAAGCTTTAAATGACCTGGTATGATCATTCAACTATTAGAATCTGAGCCAAGACTTGGGGCTCCAATTGCAATCGACATTCCCCACGTCGGAACGAAGACCTTTTGTTCCTCATATACATTCTGTAATGCATCATAACTATTACAGTTTTGCCCGGCATCACTGTTTCCAAGAACACAATGGCTGCTTGTCTTATTGATGAAAACAATATCTTTACAAGATACATATTTCCAAACAAACGTTGTCGTTACAATGTCTGTTTGTTTACAAGTTGCTGTTACTCAACTTCAATCACGAGTTACTTAATTCGAAGAGTGCCAAAGCAGCCTCCATCATCGCCCAGTTATATAAACCTACGGTTTTAAGGACCCAAAAGCAACATAGAATGAAGAAACAAATGGGCAGGTCCGTCTCGGGAAGCACCACGACCTCACAGAAGACCAGCGTGACGTGTATGTCTTAATTCGGCGTTTCGTCTCGTGAATGAGGTAGCCGGTTCCCACTCTATTAAAAGGTGGCAACGCGTCTGCAACCCTACGGGTGTTGCAAAATAGGTGATAAATGAAATAAAATTGAAAAATAGCGTGTTGTTGTAACACTAGCCCGCATGGTTTGATATTTCCTCGGTTATTATAATAATACAGCATACGTGTACGTGATACAGATAACGCATTCGCAACGAAGAGAAATTTCTATGGGCGTGGTTTACAAGTTTTTTAATAATTTAGGCTGACTGACGCTAGACTACCATACCGTAATCGCAACAGTCTTCGCTGTTGCACGAATGAGCCGTCAACGAAGGTACCACAATCTCAAAGAAGACCGGCGTGAAGTGTGTTTCGTCTGGTGAGTGAAGTGACCGGAGCCCACTTTATTTTAATAAAAGGTGGCAACGCATCAGCAACCCTACTGGATTGCAAATGGCGGCGGTAATCACTTAACATCAGGTGAACCACCAGCTCACCCAAAAGAATCACTTTTATTTTAACGAGTTTATGTTTGGTACAGCTACGTCGCTTATAATTTTTATTTTATTTAAATAAGGCGAATGAAATCTTAAAAATTCATGAAAACGTGAAATGGAATAAACTAAATATAAACTATTCCAGACATTACTATTACTAGGCATCAATTTTGTTTATAAGATTGTTTGGGCATGTTTCAATTATCCCCAATTCTACGAAGACGTGTTAACACGATCAGAAAAATTCCGAACACAACTTTGACCTACGTTCGCTTGTGTCGTGGGACGCCTGAGTGAATTTACAACCAGTTTTAAGAGGAGGTTAGACGCATTGAGAAATCTATCGAAAATAGCTGTAATGATGTTCATAAAGGAAATTGACAGACTGTAAATTAGATAAAAGGATAGCGAAGAAGAATGCAGTTATATCATTTTTAAAGAGTGTCACTAAGTGTCACTAAGTGACCATAAATAAAAAACATTAATTTAATAATTTAGCGTTTATTTCATGTGCCTAATGCTCGTCTTTACAATTAATTCAAGCATATTTCCAGTGTAAAATAAATATATTTTACAAGAATTATTGTAAACGAAAGCTTGCGAGTAGAGAGAGTATTGTTTCCATAAGGATCCTTTTCATAAGAAAACAAGGCAATAACAAAAAGGATTCTATTTACTCTTTCATACTTCTACATAATCAGTGCTTTACCACCAAACTACGTCCCGTCTTACCAGGACGTCCACGCTAAATTACTTTTACATTAACAGTTTTTAATAATAGGCTAGCTTCCTATTATTAAAAAGCCAGGGATAAAACATCTGTTATATTATATCTACGTCATTTGAGTGCCTCCCTGGTAATACGAAACTATTTTACGGATTTCATCGCTTTTCATTTTGATTGCATGTCGCTGACGTTTTCAAAGTCAAACTCAACATTTCTTTATTCAATACAGGCTTGTTTTATGCTCTTATTGAACGTAAAAACTACCACGTTTCGTACACTTTACAACAGTCATGGTCAACCGAGTCGATTTACCTTAAAAAAAATTAACTCAATATAAAACAAGATGAAAACCTTAAAGTACTTTCGTATGTATAGAAATCGAGTAAACACAACAAATAAATATGAGCGCTTCCTCTTAACGCGGCCTATGGTCAACCAGGACGGCTAAACCGGTCGGGGTGGTCGAGATATTTGGGTTACTCTGGCACCCGGTCGCCAGCACCACTCACTTAGCGCTTTGGGTCGCTACCAGCACCAACACATGGGGAAGAACAGTCTAGAAAAAATCACACAACTCTAGCGAATGATCGACGGCGGTTTTTCGTCGTACCGTCTTGGATTTTCTATTTTTTTTTTTGCATTGAAATCTCACACGCAACTCATAGACGTGCCATCGTAATGCTATCAGTGGTAAACAATTCGACAACTTCATACCAAACTGGATGGATATGTTGTGTTGTAAACGTAAACTTATTTCATATTGTTATCAATCGTATTGAATATTTTTGATAAACTTGTTTTCCTCTTTCTATTAAAAAAATAAGGATATGATCTCAAAATTATCATTCCATCATCCCTCCTCATTAAGCTATTAAACCGACTGCATTTTCTGAATCTAACTGAAGACTATACCAATTTGAATAATTTATAAACAGGGCACGCAAAACGACACATCGAATAAATTTACGTGTCCGTTATGTGAAATTTCTTGTTGATATACGATGCTTCTTCAGCTCAACTTTCGTAAGTGATAGATTATTGGATTCGTATTTAACGTCAACTATTTATCACA